TAGGTTTGGATGTTTGCATGTACCAATTGTTGTATTAAACTTAGTATTTTCATTAGTTGAAACCATCAGTAAAAACTATGACATTTCCTCTTTTAGAAAAGAATTTACCTGCACATTGTTGGAATTCAAATGTCCTTAAGACACATATCGTAAAAACATCCCGTTATTTTTTTTTTAATTTATTAAACACTTTGTTCCATTTTGTATTTTGTCTTTCACTCCCCTTCCCTTACTATTGTAAGCCGCCCTGAGTCCCCTCAGGGAAAAGGGCGGCCTATAAATGTTAAATAAAATCAAAATCAAATCAAAAAACCATTTATTCAGACCTAAAGTTGCCTTTCAAGAAGTATACTCATAACAGTTCTTTGTGTCCCATTGGTAATCAATCAATTCTGTTTAAATAGTTCCAGAAATTCTCAAAAGCCTCTTTACATCCCCTTTACAGCTTCAATCTTTAGGGGTCATTTTAATTAAATAACTTCCTTGTTCTCATATTTAAATCTCCAATAGTCATGAGGTAGTTAGATATAATCCAATAAATATTTTTACAATCCCACATAAAAGTATTCCCAGACTTGTATATTTTCCTTTCGTCAGTAGGTGGCACTTTCAACTTAAACTTCAGTATTGCCACAAATAATCTTAGTCTTTCGATCCCAATGTTAATTGTAGTTCAATTATAAAAGCAGGATAAGTTTTTTAAAAAATAGATAATTCCAGCATTTTAAAATGCATTCCAATTACCACATCTTCCCAGTTTAAGAGTCCAATTTTCTGTATTTTTGAAGATTTAGTTTTTCTCTCTTTACATCCTTTCCTTCCGATCCGGCATTTTTCCCAAATGTTTAATTGCCGCTTTAATAAATAGTTCTGAGCAAATAGTTCTAAATTATTCCTTGGGGTTAGGTTTAAAGCAAAAAGAATTTCTCTCCCCCAGTTCCAGACACTGTTCACCTACTCCGATCTAGCATCGGTCTTAGTTGTTCCTTGCTTGTCCCAGCTTCATGGCAGCCATCTTTAGGCTGCCTCTTCTCTTTGCCATGGCTGAGAGGGAAAAATAACCCCAGGTCAGACAGGAGAGCTGCAACTCTCCGTGACCTCACAGGGCACCCCTCGTTGCTTCACCACCCCTACAGGCAGTCTGAGCTTTCTGAGTTGACCCAGGAAGAACATTGTTGTGTTTTTTGATGATTTTTTGATGTTAGGTGTCCATATTAGGTCTTGAGATATATTGTAAACTTGTCTGTTGTTGTTGTGAGGGAATTGACACGCAGGAGCCATGTCTAGAAACCTGAAGGTCTCTATGGTTGATACTGTGTTGTTTAGTATTGTAAGAAGTGGTAGAATAGGAGGGCTTCTCTTAAAATCTACTATCATTTCTAGTTTTGAGTATGTTCAGTTCAATGTTGTTCTGCCTGCACCACAAGGCTAGTTGTTCAACGTCCCGTCGGTATGCAAATTTGTTGAAGAAACAAAGTAAAGAGTGACACCATTTCAACTGAGCTAGATTACATTCAGGCTATTGCCTATCAACATAAACCTCTAAAACTGTACAAATGTACATTTTGTACATCTGCAAAGATCGTTGCAGGAGTCAAACTTTTCACCCTGTAATTAAGGACAAGCAACAAATCTATAAGTTTCAATTGAATCTCTTTAGGTATACACCAGGAATGGGCAACTCTGGAACCTTTATGAACTTCAACTCCCAGAATACCTGAATCAGCCATATTGGCTCAGGAATCTTGGGTGTTGAAGTTTCATAGATTGTAAAGGGATCATATTACCCCATCCCACTGCATATATTCAGCTTAAATGCCCTAACAATATGAAACTTATATACTTATTATATGCAATTTCTTCTGTTTTGGGATCACAGTGATTATGCAACCAGTATTATAGGTAGTTCTCAACTTACAACTGATTGTTTAGTGATCATTCAAAGTTACAAAAGACTTGAAAAAAAGTGACTCATGACCAGTCCTCACAAGTAGCAGCCTCCCCTTGGTCATATGAGCAAAACTCAAGATAGCAATAGCAATAGCAGTTAGACTTATATACCGCTTCATAGGGCTTTCAGCCCTCTCTAAGCGGTTTACAGAGTCAGCATANTCTTTGGGACTGAGACTTATTCAAGGAAGAGTCTGAGACTTTCAAACAAAATTCAAAGGGTCTGGGATATCCCGACTGCATACATCCTTCTGGAGTCTGCACGTGAAGCTAAAATTTAAGAAGAGATTGGTTTACTTACGATTATAAATGTAGCATTATATACAGGAATAGTGCTGATTATCAACTCGGACATACAGATCATGATACCAATTAATGCCATTATAGCACTTGTGATGTTCAGTCCTACACTGGATTTCACCTGAAACAGCAATACAGCAGAAGGAGAGAAAATACAGTTACAGTGTCAGCATAAGTCTTACTAAATGGAAAGCATAAAAACAATTATCCCCAATTATGGTAAAAACAGTGACAGAATTCCATCTATGTGTGTGTGTTTAATGACCAGTCAGTGGTGAAACCAGACAACCTCCACTAAGATCATGGCAATCAACAACACATTTTCCCACAGTGGAAATACAAATGCCACAATTCATTTGAAGACTTTTCACTGTCAAATTCCTTCTTTCTGTTTCTGGCTGTCAGCCTCCATTGAAGGCCAAGTGGGTAACAGTGACAGGAAAAGCAGTAAGGATTATTCACCCTTAACATTACAGCTAGAGAAATCCCACACTGTTTATTATAGGACGCAATGCACTCTGAGCATTCAATGTTGATGTGAAATGCTCTTTTAGCTATACAACATTACAGAGAGGCTACTAGAGAGATGGGAATGGAGAAACCCTTGGAGCCAATAGTGAGGATTGTGAACATTTAAAATTTGCTCTTTTCAGTTCTCCCCTGTTAGGAACACAGTATTTTTCTATCAAGATTTTTCTATCATTTTTCTTCTCTTGCATCCACACTGTGTTCCTTTACAAGACAAAAACATTTCCTTGTTGCCATGAACACCCTTTAAATCAATGGGGGGGGGGGGGGGAAAGAAAGCCAACCCTTTGCAGGAGGGCCACCATCAGCTCTCCCTTTGATTCCCAGGAGGCTTCTCACACTTATTCTATACTTTCACTCCTAATATGCTGAGCTGCTTCCTAATGTTGCTTTCATGTAGGAATACTTTTGAAACAGGAACCTCTATTAATATGAAAGTTCTGTTGACATAGAACTTTCAATGGAAGCAAGGCTTGGAAGCAAAAGTTGATCAAAGGGGGCTTTTGAGTTTGTTTTTCTTTCCCAAATGTTGATTTAAGACTAAGCAGTATCTGAAGAGAATTGACACAATAAAAGGTCCTAAGTGCATACAAAAAGATACTATAAAGGAAATTCAAATGTTACATAGGTTTCTCACCAAATCAGGACTTGGATGGTGCACAGCTGCTACACATAGTGATCCACTAGAAATGAACTGTGGTAAAAGAAAAAGATTTATTTTAGTTCTCTGGAAATATCAACAGAAAACAATTTCAGAAAAATCTGGCACCCGTGAGAAGCCAGATAGGCTCCAATGCAAACAGGACTTTTATCTGTTGGCCATTACTACCATGGGGCATGACTCAATAAAAATGTGCACATACTTACAAATATCCCTCCCCAAAAGGGGTAACCTCCAATTGCAGGCAAGGTAAGATAGTAAAAAGAAAATAGCCGATGCGAGGCAGCCCCAAAGCCAATGTGGAGCAGCCCAATCATGATTTGGATAGCCTGCAGAAAGAAAACACACAATATAAGACTAATTCTCTGAATCTGAGAAATCGGGGCTTCTCAGCTTCCAGTGCAGGTGTTGACCCAAGGCCTGGTTTCCTATGGTGAAAAATCCAAATGGGGAGAAGGGACAGTTTGAGACACAGTTGTCACTATGTATCGGACATTTACTCCAGATTGCGATCTAGTTTGACCCTCAGTGGGACTGCTTTTTGCCAGGAAGGTCTGTAAGAATATAGGTCTTCATGAGAAAAATGTCACTTCTCTCACTACAGACTCCTCTGTAGGAGGATGTTGATCACAGACATAAGAACAAAGTATCTTCAAACACTTTGGGCTGGAACCAATCCATTATTAGGTTCTTCTGGAGAAATGCCCAAAAGTTGCACTTCCCATAGGGAAGGGAGAAAAAGAAACTTCATATTGGACTCAGAATTTTTTGTAGAAACACAAAAGTACCAGGAATAACAGATGTTTCTGAAGTATATTCCAGAACCAGACAATAGCCAAACTAACTTCTCTAACTTCAACAGGGAGCTCACAGGTTTTTATATAACCAATAAAGTCTTAATGGACTTCAATGCAATGCATGCCCACCCCAAGCACTTTTGGCTCAGCCTTGAGGAATCTCTCCAAAGGACTCTTTTGTGGGACTTGTTGAGGAGCACTGGTGGGAATTCCAAGTTGCTGAGTTCCATACTGGGGATATGGAGTTGCTCCAGATGCCAGAAGAGCAACATTGGGCAATCCAGGAGACGTTTGGATTATGTTTGCTCCATTAGAAGGGATGAGAACTACGGTTCTATTGGCCATTCTTGCTGGAAGTGATGCCACCGCTAAGTTACCTGAAAACAAACAAGTGAGGAAAAGTTAATGTCTTTAACATCAAGAAGGCAAATTCTGGCCCTTCTCCGTAATGTCACTTTATATGAGATAATATTTGCCTGTAGTAAAACTGAAGAAGATTTCCAGATGGCTTCAGGGAGCAGGATAGTAAAAACATACAACTTTCTCAGCGATAGAAATCCTTGTTTTCCCCAACATTCATCCAAAACCAAAGAAGCTTCTTGCTTGGGAAGCAAAATGTTTTCAAGGAAAAATTCCCCCAAAACACCAGTTACCTTAATCAGAACATGGAAAAAATGCTTATATTAAATTTGTCAACGGAATGAGAACACAATTTGACCACCAGCCTCAGTTTTCTAACAAAACTCCAGACAACTCCATAAAGCAGTGAATAGCAATAGCAGTTAGACTTATATACCGCTTCATNGGAAGGCTGAGTCAACCCTGAGCCGGTGAGATTTGAACAGCCGAACTGCAGTCAGCTGAAGTAGCCTGCAGTGCTGCATTTAACCACTGCGCCACCTCGGCTCTAGATGCTTGGCAACCAGCATGCATATATATCATCTTGCCAGGGTGCGTGATGACTATTTGTGACCTTCCCAGCTGGCTTTTAAAAAATCAAATGTGGGGAACCAGATTCACTTAATGATCATGTGACTCACTGAACAAACAAAATAATTCACTTGTCAACAGTAGCAAAAAAGGTCATAAATCGGACACAATTCACTTAACTGTCTCACTTAGCAATGAATTTCTGGTCCAAATTGCAGCTGTAAGTTGAGAACTATCTGTATTGTATCAATGACATGTTTTATTAATAATTTGTCTTTTAATTTTAGTAGCTGTTTTTTTTTCTTTTTTGTAGCATCAGAACACCTACTTCATTCTATATTTCACGTAAAAACAAACATCATGCAGGGTATAAACAAGCGTAACAAACAGTCTCCATCATCCACTGTAGGGAGTGCACTTCTTCATAAAAATGCTGATATTTGCAGCACAAATTCTTGCTTCTTGGAAAGCATTATAACTATTACGTAAAATAGAAGAACTTTAAAATTTGCCACCAGTTAATTTGGTGCTTAAAGGCTGCAATTGAAAAATAAACTAGGAAGCCAGAGGACAAAGTAAAGTAATATGAAATGCACCACTGTTGCAACTCTTCTCACATTTCCTTCCTGGTGTTCTTGTTTTACTGAGATGTGGCAACCATGTTATTGTAAACTGGTGGAAAAAGAGGATTTCGTTGATTTGTGACTGCTTCATCTCCAATGACTTGGTAAGGCACAGAAGGGTTGGTTGGCTGTAACAGAAAAGAATAGTCAAGACAAAAAGTACTCAGGGATGCATCTCTTACTCTAGGTAGGAGGAGTAGATTTTCCAGTTGTGTGTCTTTAACTGCGACGCTAGTCGCAATTGCTGGCAGTCTTACCAACAGCTGAAATCCTTGATAGATACTGATAGATAATTCTTTAAAACTATAAATTAACAGGCAAATGATGGACATTTAAGTAACTTTTGCTGATCAAATCTGCTGGACTTTATCCACACTAGAGGTGGGTTCCTAACGGTTTGGCCAAACCAGTAATGGTATGGCGGCCTGGGTCACTGGAACCAGCAGCAACCCAGGCCTGCCAAGTCCCTGAACAGGTTCCCCGATCGCTGCCATCACCATCTTGTTTTTTTAGTTCTGTGCATGCGCAGGACAATTTTAATTGAACTGCAGATGTGTGCGCATGCAGTGTACACACAAGCAAACTGGCAGTAAAGCTGGCCAGAACCCACCCCTGATCCACACATTCACAAAATGTCTCCTCAGGATCTCCCACCTACCTATCAACAGGTGTGAGAGGAAAACAAACCCCCTCTACCCCATCCCCAGTGAGTGTTCTCTGTGTGGAATAGATGATCTTCTGAAATAAAGATGGTACCAACTGGGATGGTCCTCTGGGAAGTGGTAAGAGAAGTGAACTGGCTTCTCCTGAGGATGTTTGGGGACTGATTTTATTTTGAGCTTTAGTTTTTATTGCAGTTTTATATTGCTTGTATTTTAAATTTCTGTATGCGTATGGTTATTGTGTTGTTGTAAACCTTCTAGAGCCCAGCTTGAGGACTAAATAAATAAATAAATAAATTGCATCTGAGTTATTCACAAATGCTATCAGATTATTAACTTATTTTAACTGTTTAAAGGCCCTAAGAAGATGGATTTCCCTCCTGGGGAGGTTATTATTTTGGTTTCTGAAATGGCTTCAACTGACAGTTGCTGTGAATGGATATAGGTGCCGATAAAGGAGAATATACTATGTAGCTCAGGATCGAAATGAGGGGACCTTGATGCTTTCTGAGCTTGGTTGTTTTTTTTGCAGATACTTTACTACCCAAATAATAAACCTGCACTGATGATGTTACTTAGTTTGAGTAATGAAAAATCTGCAAGAAAACAACCAAGCTAAAGACCATCAAGGAACCCAAGACAGGTATCTCTGTATGCTGATTGAGCTGCTGGCAATATTCTTCTGTTTTATCAACTCCAGTCATATTTATCCCCTTCAGTCTTTGTTCTGTCCCATTTTCTGCCTCTCCAATTATTCTAAAGCATTTCTGAAAGGTGAGAATATCTTTGTTATTGGTACAAAAGGAAGCCAATTGTTGCTTCAGTCGAACAAGGGGACAGACATGGCTTTCTAACCCACCAAACTTGCCAATGCGGAATGTTGGTCCACGGTTGGTAATTCAATTGTTTCCAACTGATTTTTTTCAAAGGTCTTTGTAGTGCTGTGAGAACCTTTGTTACTAAATCTATATTTGGAGACCTTAGGTAGCACAGCTGTATTCAGCTGTTTTTCTGAGAATTAAAAATAATGTTACTTTTTAAAAAAATGAAAAAGATCTATTTTTTTTAAATGTGAGAGAAAATGTGATCAAGTAACAGATACTTTAAATTAATGTAGTCACACTACTAAAGTAAAAATATTGATGTAGTAACAAAGGG